AGTGAAATGCAGTCCAAGACAAAATATTGCATTTTTTGCAGTTGATTCCCTTCGGTAGTTTGCAAGTAAATTTATTAAAGAAGGAAAATTTGTAAATTTTAGGTTTTAAAAAGCATTTTTGAGACCGTTTGAATATATTATGAAAAAGAATAGATCTCCAGTGATACGTGATATGGTTGACAGATGTGTAGCTTGAATAGTTCATTCTCAAGCACTTAATATTTGTTCGGGATGGAAGAATATTTTCAGTGTTTTTCATCATGCAGCTAGTGATCGTGATGAATCTGTTGTTGCTGTAGCACTTAAGATGACAAGAAAAATTTGTGACGTGCTGGGCTCGACCAACGGTCAAATCACCGATCTACGATATGTCTCTGGCTCTTCTCTACCTTATCAACTCGTACTTAATACTCGCTACGAGTTTCAGCTACTCACCACCTGCAGAGCTGAGAAAAGAATGGGCGGAAAAAATGGAGCCATGGAAGGGGACATCGCCGCCACGAGGCAACCAGCCGGCGTAACAGCAATCACTCTCGACCGGAAGGCGCCAAAAGCTACAATAGTCCAGGCTGCAGAAGATTTATTGCCACTAGGCTGTTCACCTAGACGAAATCTATTAAATAAGTCGAAGTGTTCAGTCAATATTGGCGAAGAAGATATTGCCGTTGTGGCTTAGTAGTTGTACGAAGTCGTATAATAAAGTACAACTACATAGTCAGACAAATAGTCATAGCAAGTAGTCATAAGTGCAGTCGTAAATCCAAGACGTAGAAGAAAGAATAGTCTGGCGACGAGTACCCGAGATCAGCGAAGTCATCCCCTGGCCGATACAACACTCCAGACGTTCCAGAGACAACGCACGAGAATCAGTCCAGGAAACAGTCTTCACAATCCTGACGGGGAAAAGTCATGTAAGTCCAGCACTTTCAATACTCTTGTGAGACTGATAGACAAGCGTGACTATAAAAATAGTTGCAATAATATCTCTTCTAGTCGAAGTCGCGTCCTTTAACGGGGTCTTGAACCCTGTCAAAATCGCTTTTATAAATCTCAGAATAGTCTTTGAATTATATAGAGTCTTTAGCGTACTACAATTAATATTGTAAATTTTTGTAAGTCAGAGTACATCAACGATTTCTTGTTTATGTTAATTTACTCGATATCGCTTAAATAAAAGTAATATTTAATATAAATAAGGTGCCACATTGGGAGTAACCCTTTCCCGTTATCCCAAGGTCTGGATTTGCTTGTTCAAATCTGCCGATTGATTGTAGAGAAATCATTTCCTCTCGTCATCGGGTTGCCATCCGCGATTACTCACTAATTGACTTAATTTTTTATTCTAAATCGTTAGGATAGTTGATGACCATTAAAGTCATCCATCCAACAAACATACACTTTGGGTAGTCTCCCTCGTAAAATATAAGACTACACCCCCCAAGGTGTAACAAATTATTAATGAGTTATATGCTAAAGATTTTAGTATTATGGTAGATTCGTTTCAAGATGTCGTTAAGTACCTCAGTGAATTTGCCTGTAATACATTCTTCCTTGATACAAGCATGGAAGCTGTAAGACTAATCTGATGCTGAAGGTATGGTGGATGATAATGGAATGGTTGCCAAGAATGATCGATCATGGGTAAGAATGAAAAACAAAAAAACACCGTAATTATCGTAAAATGGAAAAGTATTATTTATATTTTTTAAATTATATACATTATTTTCAGGTAAGATGTTGGTTTCCATTAATATTCGAACTTTCTTGTGTTGTTAGTTGATGTAAGAGCTCGTGCACTTACGGTATTACTCGATGTTATAAAAACTTATGGTGCTTCGTTTAAACATGAAATTTCCAGAACAGCATATGGAGGTAAAATTATTTTCATAATATCTATAATAGTTTCATTAATATTTAATTTAATTATAATCATTGATTAAAAAAATTTTAGAAAGCTGAATGGATGACAACAACCTGCAATCATGCGCTGTCTGCAATAGTGTCTGCAAAATTAAGATTAAATAGTTATTAGCAGCTTATTTAAAGAAAAATATTTTTATAAGATCGGACAGTATTTAAAAAGTGGGAAGAATTTAATCAATGTCTTCATGAATTTATTCTTAATGATGAAAAGAAGAATTCTGTAATCCAGTTTCTAGAATAAAAATCTACATTAACTTATGCTTAAGTCAGATGGTCAAATCTCAGCAGATAAAAATTACGTGGAGATATTACTACATCATTTAAAATTCCACCAGCTCTTTAATTAACATAGCAAGTATTCATACGCTTTAGCACCTCACCAAGTCCAATATGAACAGGAATACCTTGGTGGAAGATTTAAAGACTGGACACTAGATATTAATTCTACAAAGTAGTAATTCAGCTGGATTCAACCTTAGAATCACCATAGTTTAACCCTTTAATTTTAACTACCAGTTTATTTCTACTCACTAGCTTAAATTGGACTATAACCCTAACGCCACTTATTCCTAGTACAATATTTGCTCCCCAATACTCCTAGCATACTGGAAGCAATAAAAATTTATTTATCATCAAACTATTTGAATAAATAATGTCTTAATACAGTTATAACTTTTTCATTGCAGCTGATTATTTTTTTAGCATGCCCATTACTCTAAAGGTGCTATTCGATACCATGAGAGTGCTAAAAAATTAAATTTTATTGCCTAGGTGAATTGAAGAATATGTAAAAGTAAGAAAGAGCTTACACAAGTGTAAAATAAATAAACTAGAGGTGAGGAGAGTTCTCAAGAGAGGAAACAAGGATGAAAAAGTTGGAAGTAAACGTGTAGGCATACAGCAAAACTTTGACTAGAATTTCTTGCCTGCTATTCCTGGATCCCTTTTAGGTATGAGACTAGACTCGTCGCCATCACAACTTGGTTTGCCAGAAAATAGTTGTGATATGTATATATGTCTAAGGACGAGGCATAAATTTTGTTGCCTGGCACCCCTTTAAGCCGGAAACTCATCGTTTAGTTGTGCCAAGGGAGTGTGAAAAAAGAAAAAAGCAAACTAGATACTGAAAATAAGTGATTATCGTTCTGTGAAAAATGCTGCTAATTGTTATCCCTTTTATTTTCAGATTCTTTAAATTCTTGAAAAATATCGAAACTAAATAATTACTATTTTTTATACTGCTAAATTCTTATAATATTTAACTGTTATAAATAATAATATTTCCGCTTCTTCCGCGGCGTTGTCCTCTTCCTCGTCCTCGTCCTTCACCTCTTCGCTGTTCTTCACCTTTTCCTCTCTTCTGTCCTTGTTCCTATCCCCGAGAACTATTCTGGGACGGATATGGACGAGTGTTCGTTTGCCCCTGCCCCCTTTCCCGTTTTCGCCCTCTATTGTGCCACCGACGAGGATGCTCTGAAATAATATTTTAATTAAGTAAAAAATCAACATTCAAGTTGTTAATTTTTACTTAAATGCATTTTTTGCATTATTATTTGAATGAGTTTTTTATAAATACCTGGCTCAGGTGGTAGCGGAATATCCGCTACCTGTTGTTGACTTGGCTCTCGGCATCTAGCTGAGGGCTGGTTGCTTTCAGAGGGTGGTGGTGGCGGTGGTGGCTGTTGGAGAAGTTTTATTTTCTCCTCCAACTGTTGCTTCTCTTTCAACGCTTGTTGGAGAAGATGAAGACGATTATATTCAGATACTAAAAAAATTGAAAAGCATTAATCTATTAGATCGAATAAATAATAACATGCATTATTGATATACTTACATCTATTGGCCATAATTATTTGACTGTCACTTCCTGAAATTAGGAAATAAATAATATATTAGTTGAAATAAAAAATAATTCTTAATTATATATTAATAAACTTTTGAATCATTCTTTATTTAATATGTAGTTCTTATATTATTCTTTTACTTACTTTCTTTCCGATGTATATGGCGTGCAGGCCAGGGGGTTATAAAAACAATGGATTCTACCATCGATTTATTGTTTACAATCAATTGCAAGCGCGAAAATGTTTATATTCAATGGTTTAATATGATGGATGATTGGACATGGGTGCTTCAGCCAATCATAATGTTGCAAAAGTGATCACATGATTTACACACAATTTCATTCGGTCATTCGAAATTTTAAAGGCTAACTTCAAGTGATAATCGTGAAATCACTATAGTCTCATTCAGTTTATAAAAAGGGTGCGTTCAGCAGAAAAAAGCGCTCGACGGCGCTCGCTAGCGCTGAGAAACAATCTATACCATTTTCGGGGCAAGGACACGTTTTTCAACTTTCGCAGCGCTGACGTTTTCCGCCATTTTGCTTAGATAAGTTTGTTTAGAAACTTGCAAGTTAACCGGTCGTTTTGTGCAATCATTTAAATAATAGTAGTAATTAGTTAAATAAAATATGATAATTAATAATGGCAAAACAGAAAATAGTGACTTATGTGTGTGGGAATAAGGAATTTTAAATATTAGCAACCGATGATATCCATCATAATCTGAAAACTGGTAAATATCTAATGTTTCATATTTTTTTAAGGTTAAAATTCTTATTTAATTTTTTTAATACAGTATTTTTGGTCAATTTTCTATGATTTTTAATAATGATCCAAATTTTTCTAATGCATTTTTTTTAATAGCCAATTTCTATTAACAAATAGAGGCATAAGAGTTGTCCAGCAATCATTTAATTATCATATTTCCAGATGATAAATATGCATCAGAATATTTTGGTAATCTTTTCTGATCCACCTGAAATTGGAGCTGGAGTTTGTTTATTAATTATTATTTAACTTTTGGTTGCTGGTCTAATTGTTTTACTGTTGGATAAACTTTTACAAAAAGGATATGGTCTTGGAAGTGGTACTTCCTTATTCATTGCCACAAATATTTGTGAAACAATTGTATGAAAGGCCTTCTCACCAGCAACTGTCAACACTGGACGAGGTACTGAATTCGAAGGAGCAGTAATAGCATTATTCCACCTGTTAGCTACTAGACAAGGCAAAGTTCGTGCTCTAAGAGAAGCATTCTATCGTCGAAATCTTCCAAATTTTATGAATTTATTAGCAACAATTTTAGTGTTTGCTATTGTTCTATACTTTCAAGTAAGATGCAATAATATTATGTAATAATAATAATATTTATTTTTTACTCATTGTACTTACTTATGATTGATATGTATTTTTTTTAGGGTCTCCGTGTCGATTTACCTATTAAATCGACTAAATATTGTAGACAATACAGTAGTTATCCAATTAAACTTTTCTATACGAATAATATTCCCATCATTCTTCAATCAGCTTTAGTATCGAATCTCTACATTATATCTCAAATGTTGGTGGCTAAATTTCAAGGCAATTTAATTGTTAATCTATTGGGAGTATGGTCAGATGTTGGTGGTGGTGGCCCAGCAAGGTCTTGCCCCGTTGGAGGTCTCTGCTATTACTTATCGCTGCCTGAATCAGTAGGACATATTGTTCAAGATCCTGTCCATGCCCTCTTATACATTTTCTTCATGCTGGGTTCTTGTGCGTTTTTCTCTAAAACTTGGATTGAAGTTTCTGGTAGTTCAGCTAAAGACGTGAGTACCATTGATTTGTATAAACAAATATGATGATATGTTTATGTCTTTTATAAATGGTTATTAGTAAATTTTTAAAAATTCAAGATTGCTAAACAATTGAAAGATCAAAAAATGGTAATGAGAGGACATCGTAACAATTCAATGATTCATGAATTGGATCGTTACATTCCTACTGCAGCAGCGTTTGGCGGACTTTGCATTGGAGCCCTTTCGGTACTTGCTGACTTCCTTGGTGCGATTAAATCTGGTATAGGAATCTAGAGTAGCGGTAGATATTCGGCGCCAAGTGCACATTCACCTTTTTCCTCTCTCTCTCTTTCTCACCAGCGCGCTGTTTCCCCCATGAGCGCCGAGGCTACCGACTATACTCTATACACGAAAAATTTTGTGTGACGTCATCAACGCATCTTTATATGCAAATATCTTTATAATTGCTACATATTATGATTTCATATTTAATAGGTAGTTATCTTATATCATGAGCTTCCAATTAAACGTTAAACGAGAATTTTTTATTAATTATTAATGGAGTTATAAATAAGCCACGCCCCTAACAGCGATATTTCTGCTATTCAAGATTTTTTCGCTCGCTGTTTCACTCTACTTAATCGAGCGCTCTATCATGTGTTCTCTCTTACTGAATGTGTCTTTTGTCACTTTCTTTCACATTGGGCTCCCTACAGTGCCCTCTTTCTTGCGTTACGCATTGTTATCACTCTCTTTCACGTCAACCTCGTAATATTTCCTTCTCTCTTGCCTAACCAAGAGACATCTATGTTCTGAATAATGAAAAATGTTTCCCGCGTGTTGCATATCGATTTTAATAGATTTCATTTGGAATCATGGATAAAATGATGTTCTAGATGATTAAAAGAAAAAACAATTATAAGAAATAGAAAAAAGTTCAACAAAATAATGTCTTATAGAAATAGTGAAAAATATGAAATTTCAATAAGACATTATTTAAAGCCAACCACAAAATTTATAACAATTTTAGGTAGCTCCTATGCTACATAGGTGTATTTTCTGCTCTTTTATTACTTTGCCAAGCCAGTTTTTTATTTTTCTGGAATAGAAAAAAGTTCAACAAAATAATGTCTTATGAAAATAGTGAAAAATATGAAATTTCAATAAGACATTATTTGAAGCCAACCACAAAATTTATAACAATTTTAGGTAGTTCCTACGCTACATAGGTGTATTTTCTGCTCTTGTATTACTTTGCCAAGCCAGTTTTTTATTTTTTTGGAATAGAAAAAAGTTCAACAAAATAATGTCTTATTGCAATATCATATTTTTCACTATTTTTATGAGACATTATTTTATTGAATTTTTTTCTATTTCAGAAAAATAAAAAACTGGCTTGGCAAAGTAATAAAAGAGCAGAAAATACACCTATGTAGCATAGGAGCTACCTAAAATTGTTATAAATTTTTAAATTTTCGAAATAAATAAAAATTAAATAATTTTTAACGTTGTTGTCTTGAGACAGCGCGCTCGGAGAGCGCGCGTTGTTTCTAGTAACCTTATCGAAAAAAAAAATTAATTTGGAAGAAGAAAATTTTTTTGGAAGTTTGGTGACTGTCTCCAAAATTCCACTTTGATCGCACGAAATGTTACCAAACTTCCACTTGCACGTATATATACTACTATATGAATTTCTGGTGTCTATCTGTCTGTTCGGGGTAATCTCCAAAACGGTTAATTCGATTGCGACCAAATTTAACAGATATGTAGAGGGGGTTGTTCGGAAAGTTATATGCTACTTTTTGTTAATGTGAATTGTTTATAACAATTAAATTTGTTATATACAATTGAAAACAGGATTTATTCAATATATTTGAGATCTCTTAACGGGAAATTTTTTCTTTTACTGAAACAATGTTATCCACTGTGTAAAATGGATATAAACATACTTCTTTTGTTCGTAACATACTATTTGTTGTAAAAGAACAGAAATTGAGTTTTACGATCATTTCCTTTCATCATCAGTAAGAGTGCTCCTGTAACTGGAGGAGTTACTCAGTGAACACAGAATGTAAATGTGATATAACAAGGAAGTAACAAGTTACGTAACTTTTTTGACTTATAGGTGACATAACAATTATATCAAATTTGAGTTTTATGATATGTACCTAATTGTTACTTCTAAATTACGTATCAGTTACATGGCATTGTGATTGTAGTATAACGTCACAATTGTGACGGCTATATTATGTCCTCGTGACCAAACAATGTTACTTTGAAAAAAACGTCACAACAGTGACTCTTATGTTATGTTTATGTTATGTCGCAGCCGTTTCCTCAGTGTAACATAGCATCAATAAAATGAAATAACATCAGTGTAATGTAACTTACGTTACATATGTTATATAGACACTGCGATACATGAATTATTTTGCATTGGATATAATATTTTGTTACATAACTTAGTGATGTTGCTTATATGTTTATGTATATGCTTATTTGTAATACATAACTTATGCTACATAAATGCAACATTAATGGTACATAACTTTGTTACAAGTATACTATGGTAAGTGTATACATGGATGTTATTATATATAACGTTCACCTTTTAATCTTCAATATCCGTTATTAGGTAAAAAATTAAAAAACTAATTGTGATAAATCTATTTTTTGTAACAAATTTTGATATTTCCTCAGTTATTCTGCTTCCCCTAGATTCTTGAAGAACAGAACTTATTATATTATATGGTTTTAACCGTATATCCGACATTTATCGTATTTTTCTGTTACTTTTCTTTTTTTTATAGATTTCAAAATTATTTTGGAAGTTTGATGACTGTCACCAATTTTGTCTTTAAAGTCTGCCCAATTCAGTTTCAAATGTTCTTATGTATGAACTATAATATATGGAACTGTTGAAAGAATTTAAAAAATTGGGCCAAGTTCCATAGTTTTTTGGTTTTGAAGATTTTTTTTTTGGTACTTCAAAATTAACTGAAATTTTATAAGTCAATAGTACATTGCTAGTTCGAAAAAATTATGAAAAAAGACGCAGCTAACTTGGCGTTTTACTTGATTTCACATGTTTTTTTGATCTTACCTTTTTTCCATTTATACTAATTTTACTTGAATGTGGACTTGGCGCCAGTTTTTACAGGCATTCCTAGATGCCTGTTTTGTGCGGATATTACTTGCAGTGACAATAATTTATCAATACTTTGAAATTTTTGTGAAAGAACAAAGTGAAATGAGTGGTATGAGTACGTTATTATTCTAAATTCAATTAAATGGACAAAAAAAATTTTCTAATGCTCCAGTATATAAATTTATATATTTATTATGAGTCATCGATATTACATTCGATAGATTTTGTCTTTATCGATCTTTAAAAACTTTTATGAGACTCAGAAAAGGATACCATTATATCATCTTTTTGATGACCACACTTATTACAATAAACCATGCTTTAAGACTTGACTGTACATAGAATTCAATTGAATTGTTAAATAAAAATAATCAATTTTTTCAACCTGTACTAAATGAATGGTTTTTACATGAATGCACTGAGAAAAATATCAACATTAATTATTATTTAAATAAAGTATCATAGAAAAAATAAGTGATCTTACTGCTCATTGTACATTCGGCTTTTTTCTACATTATTTATTGAAAGAAAAAAAAATACGAAAAATATATAGGTACATATTTAAGTAAAATTATTCATTACAGAGAAAATTTTGTATTATTAAAATAATTATGAATAATAATAAATATTTTTTTCAATATTATCACTCGTGATATGTAATATTCAATTTTCATTAAAGTAGAACTTAATTAATAATATTCATTTATTATTTTTTTTTTTTTTAATTACAAATTATTTTATTACAAATGATGCAATATATACAAATATTTACAACTCTGATCAATATCCAAAAAATTGAACTCCTTCATTTTTATTGAAAAAAAATGTAAAATATAACATGCCAGTTTTAGCAATATTAGCAAGTATAAATAATCAAAGAATATTAGTAAATCTGATATTTGGTGTTGAAACATCTGGATCACGCCAGGCAATACTTGCACCTTCAGTGAGAGTAAATAATGCCGGAAAAGGAACATTTTCATGCATGTAAGCCCATACACATTCTCTTATTACTATATTGATCTGAAATTAAAATAAATATTATATAAATAAAGTTTAGTAATTGTAAAATCAGCAAAAAAAAACGTTGAAACATACCTGATGAGGTGTGAGAATTGGTGAAACATCTGTCAAACAATTAAGAGGTGTAGGAAGTAATTGAACTAGGACCATAATATTTATAAGCCGTGAACCTTTACAGTTGTTGCCGCATTGACTACATGGTATCCAATATTACTGGTGTTTAAACTTGTATCCAAAAGTATGCTTACTATTTTTTAGGCTTTTTATTTTGCAGGCTCATGCTAAATTTACTGTTAATTCAATCAACACTTCTGGTTGATTGTTAAAGTAATGACACTAGTCACTAGCGAATGTTGCTAATCGAGGAATTATATCAGATCTTACTGGAAATAGAGTTTGTAAGAGAATTTTTGTTATAACTTTTAGTAATAATGATAGTGAAAGAGAAGCGAATTTTAATAGATAAGGAACTGTAGCAGTTTGTTGTTTTCTTGTTGATTTATCATCATTGATATCTTTATTTAAACTCCACTTGAATAATTGTAGAAATGCATCATTTATTTCATATAAATGACGCGTTGCTAGATGCTCTAAAATTCCTACTACTGAGTGTAGTATATTTTGAGAATTTTCTTGAATTCCTGTCACTGAAAAATCTTTTAAACCCCAGAATAATATATTTTTAATAATCAACTGTGGAAAATAACTTCCAATATGAGCAACTACCTAATCTAAATATGGGCTGTGTGTGGCCATCAATTCAGTCAGAATATTCATACAGTTGTCAGCTTCTTGTTGATTAAAGTCTAATAAATATTTTATACATTTGTCTGATAAATCCATCAATGTCCTGGTTGTTTTACATGATAACCAATATTTAAGACAATCATTAATTGTGGATTTAGTTGTTAATTTAGCTTTTTTTGGGAAACTTTTTGATAATTTACCTACAATCAAAAAAGAAAAATTGTCATTGTTTTGTGCACTATTGTTATAAAATAATTGATCAACTTTTATAAAATAATTACCCAAGAGATCTAAAGACCAATTGGTGATAAGACATGACCAAGCTTGAGGATTATCAGAGATAGTCCAAAACTGCATTTTTAGCAGCAGGAAGATT